GGCGTTGTCAATAAGAACAAACAATAGTGGTAATTATTCCGTATTGATTGCTCAAATTATAAGACTAAAATTGCTTTACAAACCAAACATAACACTTAATACCTTGAGACGGGCTGAATCTGTAGGACTCTGAATCTTATGACGCTAAGGATAGGTTTTGTTATTGATGCGAAATAAATAACTTTAAATATTTCATACGTTAAATACCTATACGCTGAAACGTAAATTTATTGTACATTAAACAATAAATTTCAATCAACGGTTGACTTGAATTGACCCTTGCGCGATTTCGGTGTTATATAGGCTTTTAAATTAAGTATAGGCTAGTAGGTACATAGGCTTAGTAATTAAGTATATAAAGTAATTTAAACTAAAAGTAAATAAGTTTTAACTTAACGATTATTTCATTAAAAAAAAACTTAACTTTTAACTGAAAACAGGCATTCAATATTTACAATCTAAGAATAAAATTAACGTCATGAAAACTTTACCTTTGTTACCGAAATTGATAACTTCATCCGTTATATTTACAGGGCAACATTTAATTAACGGATCGAGACGAAAGAATGATTTTGAAAGATATATGGGTCATCTTGATGACAACTCATTTGTGACAGCCAGCTGTTATTGGTATCGCCTTCAGTACAGCCTATACGCAAACTACAAACTGAAATAACTTTTGAATGCTAAGTTTAAAAAATCTGTCAATTGAAACTGTTATTCCTTTATGATATTACCGGCAAAATAAATACAACAATAATCTCTACCATGAGATACGCAAGGCGGTACAAAAGTCCCATATTGTAATTGTGTATTAGTTTGCTCGCTGAGATTGACTTAAGTCATGACTAAAAAAGCTAGATGCATTGCAATTTTAGACTATCTTTGTTTAGGGCTGCAAGTTTTTTTTGTGGTTGTTATATTTTATCCCATTTAAATTGCCAACTATATTTCTTTATTTTTATTTTTATTTTATTTTATTTTTATTTTTTTAGGGATAACAACAGCTGCAATTCTTAACTAGGTAGTAAACTATGATTACATGAGTAGCCAATAAAAGTTATCCACGGTAGATACATAGAGTGGATGAATATGCTAACAACAATACATAATATTAAAACTGATTGGTAAACCTTGAAAAAATGGGTGAATAGATGTAAAATATGAAATATAATAAATAACTGAAATAAATAACACATACTAAAATATATAAATATAGGAGAAAAATTAAATTGAATAAATACATTAAAAGATTTATATCATCTAGAAACCTATAAAACCAGCCATTCAGTGCAATGATGTTGACATTTTAGAAAGCCTATGATGATAGTAATTTAAGCGAAACTCGTTTTTTGAAATTATCCTTAGAACCGATGAATATGTCCACACTATTAAAGTGTTCATTATAAGAGTCGAGTAAACGTGATATTACACCATTTCTACCGTAATTAGTGGAGTGAAATGAAGTGCAAAATAGTGTAGTGTGTCTAGTGCGTTTCTTGGGTACATTAAACTTAATATTATTTAAAAGCATAGGACAATCGATCCGTCCTCGCAAAATGTCATAGAGTAACCCCATATCCATCAGAATACGCCTTTCCTCGAGAGTTAGTAGATTGTAAATACGACAATTTTCTCTGTAATCATGAAAGCTGTGACGAAATTTAAAATTAAGGTGATCTATAAACTTTTTCTGGATGCGCTCCAGACTGCCTTTGTGTATCGCATAACAGGGAGACCATATCTGACAACCGTATTCCAGTAAACTACGAACAAAAGCAATATAAACAACACTTAAGCTCAACAAACTCTTGAAAGGTAGGCAAGATCTTAGGACAAAACCGAGATTGCGAAATGATCTGCTGCATATAGCATCAATGTGCTGCCGCATGGACATCTCCGAGTCCAAAAGTATACCCAGGTCTCGCACAACCTTGACCCTCTCGATTGCAACGCCGTTAAAACTGTATTGGTAAATTATAGGATATCTTTTACGGGTAAAGGATATACTTTGACATTTTTTGATGCTAACCGTGATATTATTTTTAGCGTAGTACCTGAATAAAGAGTCGAGATCCTCTTGAAGCAAGACACAGTCAGAGAAGGAGTTGATGGATGTGTAAATCTTTTTGTCATCAGCGTAGAGTATGTAATGTGAGTGCTTGATGTGGTAAATTATGTCAAAAATATAGGCGTTATAGAAGAGAGGGCCAAGGTGCGATCCCTGGGGAACGCCAGAGGGAATAGATACAAAGTCAGACTTAAACCCACCCAATACAACAGCCTGAGAGCGATTAGTTAGGTACGATTCAACCCACCTAAGTAGGTCACCGTGAATACCTAACGCGTACAGCTTACGTAACAGGATGCCGTGGTCTACACGGTCGAAGGCCTTTTCAAAATCTGTGTAGACCACGTCAACCTGGCCACCATTTTCCATTTCGCCTACCACAAGTCAAACTCACGTAATAGGGGCTAAGCCTTTTGTAATCAACGTACTTATAATGTTTTTAAATACATGCATAAAATAGATAATAATTAGGTGAAATAAAATAACAGGAGTATAAGGATATTCTCGTTTAATTCCTAGAACTCATGAGGTAAACAATTCTAAACTATATCATACCAATTTCAAACAAACTTTTCGTATTCGGGCACTAATTACAAAGTGTATATTATTAAACAAAATGTTGCATCACAAAAATCATATATTTTTTTTGGAAATAAAGGTCTTGAAACACTCCATTCGGTAATACTTGCAAAATACTATAATTCTCGGGACAAATTTGTTTTAAATTAATTAATCAATACTAAAATTAAAGCTACGTATTCTAAAATACATAAATACGCGATTAAATTATTTTTTATATAAAAAAATGTTGTGAAAGAAAACTTAAAGAAGTGAAAATAAAAACAGAAAACATAAAATTAGATAACAAACAAGTTATTTAACAAAAAAATAATGGTATTGCCAATTGTTGTTATACTGAGCCAATTAATGTAATATTACTACTATTACTAGTAAATAGGTGTTTAGACCAAAACATTTTTATATTTCTTAAATAAATGTGACTATTATTTTATGGCACGGCCTATTTTCATTAAATAAAGAAAAAAAATTGAGAAAATAAAAATTTATTTCGATAATAATCTCCCAGAAAAATAAAATAAGTCATCTTAAAGGAATTATAAAACTTTGATCATGTCTGTTAGTCTGATTCCTTTTAAGATTCAAGGTAAGTATACTGCCTTAAGAAAAATGCGAAAAATCTCAAAGAGAACCGAAGAAGAAAAAAATAATGTATGGTCCTGAGCTATGAAAACCTGCTGCAATCAGGGCCAAAAGATGTTACACCGGTACCAACTAAAAAGAGAAATTATATTTTCCCGAAAATGAGGTTATTAAAAATATAAACAAATGCTTTAAATATTCAGACTATTGCTACAATTCCACTCTTTAACAATTCCTCGCAGATCATAACTGTGACATTGTGGACAAAAGGGATTTCATTCAAAAATAACAGTAACGGAAAATAGGACTAGACAAGTCCTATTTTCCGTTACTGTTATCTGTTATGGGTCTAAATATTGAAGAAAAGTAGACTATAAATTAAAAATAAAGTTATGCATAGACAAAAATGATGTAATAGGAACAACTGAGAGAGCTTACGCTACAAATACTGATACATGCTAGGAAATAGGGTTACAAAATTAAACTGTTTTGGTCACAAAATGGCTGCCAACAACCACTTTCTAAAACTAAATGGCTCAAACGCTTGCCAGGAATCAAATACAGGAATGCAAAGGTATGTTTTAGAAGGACAAAAATATATAATACTGTAATAATGTGTTAACGATTAAAATTATTACTTACTAATGAAATTTATGGCATTTTATGGCTACCTCATGAATCAGAAACATTAGCACTCCATTTTTTGTACACTAATGTTCTATTTTTATACATAATTAATTTTATACCAATATTTCTGTAACAATTACATTTTTTTATTAACATAATTTTTTAATATATAATCTAATCTTATTTACAAGTTGTTTTTGTTATAGAATTGACCATTTTTTTATTAAATATATTTTTTCGTTTGTAAAACTAGTTTTTTAATGATAACTTCTGACAGCGTTACTTTTGGCGCTTTGAGAGGTGGTTTAATTTTTAATATGAGTATTTATTTTCTATCAGAACTTATCACAAAATACGATATTGTCATGACTTTACCTCCAGGCACAAAGTGGTGTTCTTAACCCAAATTTTATTGCCTTATTTTTTTATAATTTCACGAAGTTCTATATTTAATAATACTATTCGTAAAAATGTCTTTTTCATGGGGAAGTAATAAATATAAATATTTTATATAAACTAACAACTAAGATTGGTCAGGATTTAGGAAATACACACTTTTTTAATATTAATTTGCTTATGTTGCAAACGACATTTAAATACCAGTAGTGACCAAAAATACTTTTACACCACTTAGAAAGCACACGATTCATTTTTGTAACATTGAAATATAATGTTACAAAAAGTGGCTCAATTACAAAAATCGTTTGTAACATAGGTTTTTCATGCATGCAGTTGCATCTACAGATTTTATATCCACGTATTTGTTCATACATTTGTAGGAAAATACTCTACGCGTACATCATAAACCGCTTCATAAAATTCAATAATTAATAACTACATTTTGTGTTTGGCACAATAATGTTTGCCACATTTGTTTCAATCCGGCTTGTGACTAAGGCACAATATTTCAAGGGACACTATACCGACAGCTAACAGTAGAACGCATTAGTTTTAGATATTCTAACGTTCATGCACATCACTGTTTTAAAAGCCATATTTTAACCCCTATTTTCACGACACTTAGGCGTTTTGAATAAGCCCAAAAAATAGATAGAGTTATTTTTTTCACAATGTATATTCGTAATTATAAGTTTGTTTCACTTTTCAGTCTGTTACTTTTTATTTTTCGTAAAATATTAATTCAGTTGGTTCCACTAGTGGAAGGTCCAAGGTTCGCCTCCTGATGTTTGTACTTATGTGACGTCATTTGAGACAGTCCAAGAACAGCGAAACCACACTGTAAACAGTGATAATGGGTTTGTTTCTTGCTGTGGATGCATTGAGGTTCGTAACCACAACCTGTAACATAAAATGTAATATATTGGTGCTGAACATATAACAAAATTAAGTTATTTTCAGCTTACCTATAAAATTAGTAAACTTTCAGCATTCATAATAATTAATTATATGTATGGAGAGTTATATGAGAGAGGCCTATGTTCAGCAGTGGACCGCGATAGGTTGAGAATGATGATGGAGAGTTAGTTAGGCTTACCAAGTAACTCTCCATCATCGTCACCAGAAGTCACAAATTTCTCTAATTTTACTGAAACATCTTTAACTTATAATCTATGATTGTTTGGATTAGATCCCTATTACTATGACACAAGTTGTCTGTTAAGTCTTCTCAGTTTATTTTATTAAACGTTAAAGAGTTTACTAAAAATTTATTTGAAAGAAAAGAATATCGGTTTGTGACGTCATACATTGTTGTTTTCTTTTTGTTAAATAGGAGTACCACATAATATATATAAAGTATCGACTTACCTTTGCTTGGCGGGAATTTGTCGAAACCAGCTGCTTGAATGGAGTCAAGCTTTTGATGCTGACGACGATGTGCGACGACTTTGTTGGTGTCCGTGCATACGAAGTCGCACTTGAGGCAGTGGAAATGAGACGCTTTGTTCTGACCTGTTCCTGGAGACACCAGTACGCAAATTAGCAAGGAAATAAAATAAAATTGGTAGAAATCAGATTAAATATAGGTATTCAATTTTCTTACGGGGTTTAAATCTAAATCAAACAGGTTAACCCTCCTAATAAATAAGATTGTTATAAATAACAAAAACCAAATCGAAAGCTTACCAAAAGTCGAAGCATGTGGGCAATCTGGACGTTTACAGTAGACGTTAGCACGATACTGCTGAAAGTCGCCTCCCATGAGCGTGTCCAATCTGTAATAAAATTGCAAATATAAAAATATAGCTCGATAGTTGTACATGCCTAAGATAATGGTAACCAAGAAATATCATACGGTGTCCCACAAGGATGTATCTTTGGACCGGTTTAGTTAAATTGCCCTTGACTTTTGGCTACAGGATATACATCAACAATAGTGGTATAAAAACTATTGTAACGAATCATGCCTTTTAAAATCTAAGCAATCTAATGTAGTAAATTAAATGCATACAAACAATAATCTTGAAGTATTTTACAAAGTAAAAGTGGGCTTAAAATTCATTCATTCTCCAGAGAAATATTCCAAATACATGAAAATTGACTGTTACACAAACATCATTAATCTGAATCTTTGGCTGTTAACCATTATTGTATATTTACCTTTCATGTCTAGCCGTGTGTTGGACGAACCTCGTCTTATCACAGAATGAGTAGCCGCAGTCCTTCCTTGTACAATGGAAGTGGGTTTGATGTTCCCTGAAATATTACAAGCGGAACGTTAGAACACATTGACCCCGTAACTGTAAATAAAGACTAAGGAAAAACTTTCAAATATTATTGAAATAGTCTTTGGATATTATAATATATTTGAAATGTAAGTGTAGCATCAATACATCAATTAACTAAAAAGCTTTTTTATGGCGTCGTTATATCGTTATAATATCGCTTTTTAAAACATTTTTAAATTAATCTTTATGGATTTTTCTTTTTTAATAAATAAATGATTAAATTGTTTTTTTTTTATTTGTATCCTTTTTCTAGAGAGGGAAGATTTATATTTAAGAGCTTACATGTTATTAACTTAAATAAAAGAAAATGATAATATCATCAAGATATAACTATTTATCTTATTCACAGACAGGTAATTAAAAAACTGATAATTAAGAACCAGACTTTTAAGTTAAATCATCAACTTTAGTAAATGTGTCAGAAAAAACAGCAGCCATGAGCCCATCAAAAATTTTGCGACAGTTTTTGACATGTGTGATATTGAGCTGAATAAAAAGGAGGTCACTTGATAATATTCAAAAACTGTACTTGCAGTGAAGATAAATTTAGTATTAATTTGTTGATCAACGTACCTGTATCCGCAATGCTGATAAGCGCAGTCTTCGTTGAATCTGAACCGCAGATACCCTTCCGGGATGGGCTCATCTTTCATAACACGCATGTGAGGCCCTCTAGCGGTATGCGTGCGTCTGCTGACAATACAAATACAGTTACAGATAAACAATTCATCATAAAAGCGATATATACAAATAGAAAATTACATTACATGACACGAAAAGAAGATAAAAAAACTAAGTACATGATTCATTATTTATATTATTTTTTTAAATCATATCAAAATCCAGGTAAATTCTTAAAAGGGAAAAAGCTTGAAGTACTTCGTCCTTGTCCGATAAGAGTTTTTTTCTTAATTATTATCTGTGCTGTCCTTTTTGCTTTTACAGGGCATACTGGCCTCTACCTGACCTTGGTTCAGTGTCATTGATGGACTGACAAGACTATCTGTCTTGATTACGACTCCCTATTTTTGGGGTTCTGGAATTCATGTTACTGCTTACACCATGGAAAAAAATACTTATTCTACTATCCCAGAACCATTCCTGATCTGACAAACGGGAATACGAGCAGAATACCATGGCCCCTTTTCCTTGCTTTCTATAATAGTCGAGAGTTAGAGGCCCAGAAGCAGAACCACAAACCAGTGGTTTTAGGTGCAGGGTATGCGGTAGACCCTGTCGCTCTAGAATTGGCTTACATAGCCACGAAAGAAGGTGTATGGCTACGGAACAGTGACTAAATCGTCTGGAATAGACGTAAAAGGCCAATAATAATAGTCGTGAGGCGACCGTAAAAAGCTTGACTACGGCTTAAGAGTGATGAAAATTGTACTTGTGTTTTCAAAAGATCTTAATAAACGTAACATAAATCACCAGATCGTATGTATTTCAATAAAAAAGGAAAACCGTGCATGTAATTATTACACAGCGGTAGAGAAATATACAACCTAAATAAACAGGTGGGTATTTCTATTATTATAATTATTAAAATATTTATTATAATTTATTAAAACTCACGTTTTTGCCATCATCTCTGCCTCTTTGTCTAAACCAGGTGGTAAACCATGACCTTGTAATAAGCTCTGCTCTAAGAGTAGCTCCGGTGGGTACAGCATTGCTGGGTAAAGAGGGAATGGTGATCCGCTGAAAACAAGAAAGCAATAATTATAGCATATACGAGATTTCATGATGTTAAAATGGGCAACAGTAAGATGGAATTAGGAGTATGAGATTCAAAAGACACAAACTAACCCTTGAGAAAATAAGGCCAATCCTGGTAGACCAGCTAACGACGCAGTGTATTGCTGCTGCATTTTTAACTGTTCTTGAAGACTGCCTTTTCTGCCACCGGCCAAGTATTGTTGTAGAAGAAGGCTTTGTACTGCTTGAACCTAGAATAAATAAGATGACTAAAATAAAAGAAAATAATATTTTTCGGACAGCTGACACACAACGCCATCTAGTTTTAAACTAAGCAGAGCTTGAGACTTACTGCTTCATTTAAAATGTAATTTTTAACAGGGAAAATTTGTTTTAACGCATACCTGGTCCGCAGGGTTCGGTGGTCTCTGACTCGGAGAAGGAGCTTGACTAGTTGATGACGAAGAAGCAGTCGATGGCAGTATCGATATCTCTGGATATTCCCTTTCCAACGTCTCCTGTGCAGAAAAACGATATCTTAGTTTATAGAATCATGATAATATCAATATTATTGTCTCAAAGCTGCAAGGAAAATGACTCACCTTAGTAGCAGCTAATCCAACAGGTCCTGGCTCCATAGTGTTGCTGTGCTTTTTCACCATATGGCTGAACAACAATTTTAAATCAACATATGCTTGACTACAATGCGGACAATGGTAATGAAGGTTCATCCCTGTAGCGTTCTTATTCAAGGGACACGTCTGATCATGGCACGATGGAGGGATCGTAGGGCCGGACACCTTAGGTGGTTCAAAAATCTTCTTTTGGTCGAAATCAATGCGAGACTTCATATCCTTTGAAGGTGAAGCATCGTAGATACTTCTTGGTGATGGTGATGACGTGTTACTTCTAAGGTGTGACGATGGATAAAACGTTCCTGTCGCTTTTACTACTGAAATAAAAATGATTTCAAGATTAGTTGGGAAAAACAGTTATTCACCAACATTTTAAAGCTGTTTTCAGTCTAAGAATAGCTGTCAATTTATAAAATAATATTAGTATTCATCATTGCGTAAAACTATTTCAAAGAATGACACTCACCGGACACGTTATCTTGTTCTCTTTCAAATTCACTTTTAATAGAAAAGTTTGTAGGTGTGAATGATTCACAAGGCTCTTTCATTGAACTGACGCTATCCACTGAAGCTCTTTCTTTCAAAGAATAATCTTTGGCTTCCTCAAATTGCTTCTCTTGCTCTTCACTCTTAATCACTGGCGTTCCTCTTCCGTGCTTGTGAGTAGCCAAGGCTGAATACTGAGTCAGAATTGCGGGACAGTTGTTTCCTTGGGCACAATGGAAGTGAGACCTTAACTGATTCTTGAAGCAGCTCTTTCCTCCACATTGGTCGAAAGAAGTAAAATAGTCGAAACCCTCTAGTAATGGGCTAATGCCATGTACCTCTCTCATATGGGTCTCCATGATCATGTGGGTTTCTCCAGCAAAACTACAGTTCAAGCAGTGTAGGTGGAGTCTAGTCATGCGTAACTGACAATTGGAATATGATGATGAGCAAATGTCAATACTGGTAAATACTTCAAAGTGCTGGAATTTAATGCGCTGTAAATAAAGCAATTGCATTGTGAGTAATGGTAACGTGTAACAAAAGCTATGAGTAAAAATATTTTACTTTGTACTTTTACTTACAGGGAATTCCTCAATAGTTGGTATAACCGGTGACGGAATCACAACTGGCAATTGATTACTCTTGGGTAATTTGAAGGATGTGAATATTGCTTGAGGCGTAATATTATCAGTCCAAACTTCAACAACCCTATTTTTCGGTGGCCTTCCTCGTTTCCTACTAAACATCTCATCTAAGGAGCTAGAAGGATTAACCTGCTGTGGAACCACACCAGGATTTGGCCCAAGATTTAGTTGAGCTTGAAGGTTAGGAGTCAATTGTGATGAAAGACTTGGTGCCATTTGGGCCAATTGGGCTAAGTTCGGTGGAAGATTTGGCAGAGCTGGCACTTGGCCAAGTTGTGCTGCCATGTTTGGGTGTAGTTGTGCTGAGAGTTGAGGTGTAAAGTTTGGTGCAAATCTGGACGCTAAATTTGGTGACATTGGACTGAGGATAGCGTGTTGCCGATGATGTTCAAGACGTCGGAAAGGATGTTCATCTGATGAGAGGATAACTGCACCGCAATTTTCCTGTAAAAAGGTCATTGTTAAAGTACAGAACTTTTTTGTAACATTAAAATTAAGACAATCTCATAATGAAGGCTTACCCAAGTACAATGATAGTGTGTGATATCCCTGATATGTTGACAGGCAGAGTTCATGCAAGGGTTGTTTCGTGTATACGTCATGAAGTAGGCTTCGGTGACCTGGTTTTGTTGCTCATGTTCCATTACATGCTTCACCATCGTAGCATGGCAGCTAAAATATTAAGTTTACATACATATAAATAAGTTTTGTATTGAATTAAAAAAAAAAGAACTTTTTCCTTTATTTTTTCTACATTTTTACCTGTGAGCCATCTTGCAACTATCCGCCAAGCAATGATAATGCTTATTCAAAGCGCTGCATTTGCTGCATTTATCATCAGCTTCCTTTCCACCAGTAAAGGTTTCTATATACTTTCTAGATGCCTCTTCAGCTACAGCAGGATTCTGTTAAGTAGTATGGCTATTTGAAATTATGTTCTTTAAACAAGTATTTATAATATTCAAAAACGAAGCCTGTTAGTTAGCGACTCTAACTTATACCAGAGGTCGTGGGTTTAATTCCTACCCAGGTCAAATATTGTGGATGCCATGCAGACTACGCAAGACTGATATTCTCGGCACTCCTCGGGGATGGCCTTCGATCAGGTTTATTTGGAAATCTGACTGCACGGATGGCGTAGTGGTTTAGGTGGCCACCTCGCTGCTTCCTACTGCGTTGAGTGTTGTGGGTTCGATCCCCGCATGGGACAACACTTTGTGTGACCCACAAATAGTTGGTCTGAGTTTGGGTGTTCTTTGTGTTCGTTGTATGTATGTTTGTAAAGTCCCCCGCTACACAGGATGAGTTCCTAGTGCGGGAGTTGTCTTTTCAAAAAAAGAAAAAAAGCAAGGTCCCGTGTAGATGGCAATAGGCTAGGCCCCTATTAAAGTAATATTTAGGAAAATATGATCATTTTTTCCCCTCTGTCTACCCCTATTTATTAAAAATGCCTTGCCAAATTATCACTATTATTAATCAGATATAAGAAAATGATTTTACGCTTGATAATACAATGACTCGTTTTACAAGGAAATATCCTTATCATTTACAGCTCTATTAACTCTAATATGCAGAAGTGGCATAAAATCCTTCAATTATATTCTCCTCGCGTCATTCTTGAGCAATTCATATTATAATCAGTTCATGTGTGACTAAGTGAAAAATTGATTGTGTTACTCACAAATGGATACGGGTAGTCCGAATCCAACATTGTATTGGACATGTCATCGTCCCCTTGAAGATTGCCTCCTGGCGAATACATGCTCAAATCAGCTCCTTGTTGCATGAAAGCATTCTGTATCACTGAAGTTGGCAGCCTGTAGAAAAACAATTCTATTTTATTACCTTGTTGATTTATAAAATAGTTACAATCAAATTCAAATATATCAGCATAGTAACTTTTCACTATCTCTAGTACACAACATTCTTAAATCTGGTAATTGTATAAACAAAAATTGTGTTAAAAATATATAAATATATAAAAAATTAGCGAGTAACATCAATAATATGATTTACATTGACGATGCATTTACATATCGAGCAATGATGTTGGCACATCACGTAATGCAACTGTCATAAAATGCATTTATTAAGCAAGTCATGTCTACCTTTGTACATATGTACTTAATAAGTATTTAAGACTAACAGCTAAAAGTAGAATCAAAAGAGTTGAACAATAATATATTTGTGTATTTATTTTATTTTGTGTTTCGTTGATGAAGTACAAAAATATATTCTTACCCAAAGCTCATCTCTTGTTCTTTCCTCTCATGCTTCCGTTTATGAGTGAAGATCTGGCTGCTAGAATGCAGCACGTAGTTGCAATGGGGTCTGATGCAGTGGATGTGGTTGCAGGTCTTGCTGAACCGGCAGTCACGATATGGGCAGGCCTCATTTTTCATGTATTTTTTAAATCCATCTTTAGATAATGCCTCATCTTTAATATGATAAGTTTTGTGTTTTTCTGTGAAAAAATATCTAGTTTTACACAGAATACTCTTCAAGCGAAATTATTTTAAGATATTGTTAAAGTTAAGGCACATGAGTCACAAAACTTAGAATTCACTAGCTTAACTAGTTATATTGCTATGAATTGCACATGTGCCTTTGAAATTAATTAAATTATTATGTGGTTCACAAAGTGACACTTATGTATCAAAATTTGTTGAATGATGAAGTTATTTTAATGTCACACATAAAATCACGAATATAGAAAACAATGATTGTATAAACAGACTTCCGAACTTACGATACCTTTACCAAAGGTACACACAGTCTGTTAATATTAGGTTGGTCTAAAGAAGGTTTTTTTATGCTCTACTTACCCATGTCAGCCTTATTCTTAAAAGTATATGTACATCCGGGACGCCTGCAGTGAAAGTGCGTGGTTCTCTGCCCAGCAAAAACACAATGGGGAGCGGCGCAACTCTCTGTAGCTCTGAACCTCTGAAAGCCCTCCTGCAGGATTGCGGAGTCTTTCCTGTGGTAATTTGCATGCATTTGCACGTCTGATGTTGATATGTATACCTACCGAGAAAGAACAAAAAAATTATTGAGGTGCAATTAAAGTTGCGAACTAAAGTAAAACATTTTGGACATCTAATTCAGTTTTGTATTATTTCTAAAATAATAGTTTTTTTTTGTTGTTAAGAGTGAAATAACAAATACATGTTTACCTTATCACAACCATCTTGTATGCAGTGGTAATGCGTCTGGCTGCGGTTATGAGGGCAGTCAGAGAATCGTTCAGAACAGTCGTCGAGCGGTGAGTAACGCATGAAGCCATGTGCAAGAGACTCATCACGTTTCTTGTGCCACTGTACAGGAAGATAAGGTACCTCATGTTAAAATGTTATTGTGTTGAAAACAAAAGTTTGGAATTTAAAAAAGTTTCTAAATGTGGAAGGAAACTCATAATTCATTTTCGCTTTATGCGTGCCGCACGAGCCTGATAAAAGGTGGTGGAAAACGGAAATAAAATCAATTTAGTGAATCATCAGAATATCAACCAGTACATGTAAAAAGAATTGCAATAATATGTACGATTGTAAATTATGTTTTCGTTATGGCTTTAATTCTGATATTTCAATTTAAGTGTTCATTTATTCATGTACGAATTTCTAAGAGTTTACTTGCATTTTAGGTCGCTTATTATTGACCATAATGTGAATTGTACAAACCTTGAAGTGCCTGATCATCTCTTCTTTCTTGCAAAAAACTCTAGCAGTACAATCCATGCAGTGGAAATGCTCCCGGTAGCCAAGGTCTTTGCAATATGAGAAACCGCATTCCAAAGTTGAGCTATACCTGTTCCAGAGAAAAATATGTAAGTAGCTATACATTTAAAAAGAGCAGTTGCTAATCATAGTCTGACATTTACGCAATACGGTTGAATACATCGCAGTAATTAAAATTATTACACAAATTAATATACAACTGTAATGAAGCAAAAAAAGATTAAATATCCCGTCATCATAACTTCTGATAGCGTTTCTAATAATTCAAAAACGATCACTCGAAACAGATTCGCGCTTGGACCTTCACAAAAAGTGACGGCTAAATTACTTAAAGTATAATTTCAGAAGCTATAATACCTTTTAACATATCTAGAGTAGTCGACCGATGTCTGCAAAGAGTTCTTGCGTGTTTGGTCCAAGTGATTCAACGCCGACATCAAACCTGTACAAAAAAACGAATACGTTGATATAAACAAAAAACTATATTATGCTAATACGTATCGAAACAATAATAACTAACGATACATTCATCCATTCCTTTTCCGTCAAACTTATTCTTTTGTTTGGAACAGCCAAATCACCTCCATGCATCATATTCAACCGAACAATGTACTGTTTTCATCATATTTTAAAACTAGCGAGTCTTTTCATTGTGTTTCGTTCGTGTTTGCGTTACGAGTCTCATAGTTGGATGTTTTTAGTTCAAAAACAACTTAAACGTCTATCGGGTTGTGTAAGCGGTCCCTCCTTGTATCAAGTTTTGGAGTATCAAATAAATTATTATGGTAATTAATCAATGTTTTCTCCTAGTCACTGCGGAGCGGCCCATTGTGAGTGATCGTTGACTCTCGCTCTATGTACACTGCTGCACGAAACTGTTTTTGTGTATCGATTCATTATTTTACACGACGCGAGATCGTATCATTTAAATAGAAACGAATGTGTGGATCGAGAATCAAATGTTTAACACTTTCAAAATATTATTTTAAATTAGAACATTCCGTTTGAGCTTCATTTAAAAAATCACGTTATCATTTGGACTTTGATTTCATTTTAAGAGAATTGTGGACATAGAATACTTGTTTTAAAAAAACTAACAATGAAGTGGATCACTTTTGAGCTCATAATTACAAAGCACATTGTATTGAAAACTTGCGTGTAAAGTTTTAAAGAGAATTAAACTTGAGACATTACGGTGTCGAAACACTCTTACGCTTTTTTTACAAAATCGTTTTTGAAAGACGAATTAATACCTATACTTATGTAGATTAGAGTTGAGAACACAATGGATGTTAACATGCGGATAGATAATTTGGTATGTTACATAAGTCGTGCATGAATCGTGATTGTAACAACGGTTTAGTGAGAGCAGGTTATTATTAATGAATGAGGGATCACTTGCTTTGTTAGGGTTGGCGACATCTTGAAAATTTCTAAAACGCAATTTATTTCCACATCTACAATATTTCCGAAGTAAAACTTAATACAGCTCAATTCACAACCTAACTTAAAATTGATTTTGTCATAGATTTTTTAACATAATTCTGATAATCTTTAATAAAACCAAGACTTAAAAAAAAGAAATAGCAACCCTAACTGAATCATATGTTACACAGTTAATGGCTCACGACTTGTTGGCGATAGTGCGAATAGAGAAAAACAATTGTATATCGATAGTAACTCGTGTTTATTGCCTCTAATTTATTGAGATTAGAGGTAAGATTCGGGTCAAAAAGATACTTAACTAATTTAAGTGAATTATAACTCGGATGTGCAAACTTCTCAAAAACACGAATCGTTAATAAAAAATAAGGACAACATCCATTGAAAAGGTACATACAAACTTATAAATTAATAGCTAAGTAACTCAATGTCCTTTAAAATAAAAAAGAAAGCGGTTTAAAAGTTAAAAGTCAAAATAAAGCTCTTGGATTACGAATTCAGTGCTATGAAACACTGAATTTTTTTTTACACATACTGTCATACTTGTTATGCAATTATAAAATGTAAATAAAAATACATATACAGGCCATGAAGCAAACGTGGACAACGATAAACAAACTTCCTATACACCTAATTACAATGCACATACAAATTAAAATTTCAATGAATTATTACAAATGTACGTGGCGCTTCGATTCAAAATTTCAAACACAGATGGAAACAAAGAGACAATGGCCTACACGGAATCAGATAAGTACCAACATAATAAACATCTATAATACGGTGGTGAGTTTTTTAGGAAATTTCGTAAGATATTGTGCCGGCTCATTCAGCCGAAACAATGGCTCCTCATAATGTTATAATGGGTTTCTGAACTCGCTCAACGGAACCACGAGTGATCGAAAGTTCTTAGTATTGGGATTTATGGGTCTAAGGAAATTGGGTGGGGACTTCCTTTGGAATTTGATTGCCGTTGAAAGACAGAATGATGGTGATATACTGGTCATTGTAGTAGACAAGCCCTCACTCAACTATTTAAGTAAGCGTAAAATTATATGCAAATACATACAAAGAGTTTTTGGACAAAAGTGGAATAGATTACGAAAACACTAAAGTTAAACTCTAAATTCATCACATTTAAATTCATAAAATAAAAAAAATGTCACGTTTATAAATCTAAATACTGAAAAAAAGAAATAAAAAACTCTACCAATCAAGCCACAAATATATATGAACACATGAATAAAAAAATGACACAAGCGGACGGCACAAAAAAAGCAATGAAATTGATGTAATTCACACGTTTCTAAAGTTCCGACGGGTGAGGCACATTGCATGGTTTATCTCATAAAACTATAAGAGCAATTTACATTAGTCATTTCGAAGTTGGAGTGCTTTGCATTACTCATTTTCTCTGTTCTTTTTTTAAATCAATCACGTTTCGCTTAAACGTTGGCGTGCGTTTGAATTTATCCGAAAATCGCCTTATTCATTTAAATAAAATTTACTCTGTTTACCCTCTAAATTGTAGTCTATTGATTTTTCTCTAAATAGTTCGAATATTTTAGAGGCGCTCGTAGTATTTTAGAAATCTAATTTAAATCAAACCACACATTATTATGATAGTCTCTAACGTTCTCCAAAATTTCAAGTACTTGAAAGAACTCAAAAACTTTTAATTTCCTGAGACAGCTGTGACCGTATTACATCTGAGAATTCATATAATCCTTCTCTGGCATTTAGTTAAGTGGAAAACGAATGAATGTCAGTATAGAGCCCTCGTTTTCGGTCACAGTTCTATGACTAATTGAAATTAAAATGTCACTTAAGATTTAGATAAACTGATTTGTGTGGTTGAATTTAGATCGTTCTACAATATTAATATGTGTATTTTTTTTTGTTGTCTATGACATTTGTGGCTGATCATGTACATATCTTTGTCAATGTTAAACACAATCGCGTTATTACAAAATGTAAAGTAATCCTTTGAAACCACCTTTATTCTGGGATGGTGTAAACAAAGTGTTAGTTTTATAATAAGTCAGTTCCGGTTCAGCTCTAGTCATTTCAGTTACTTGTGCGATAAAACGATTTATTTCCACTCTTCTTTGTATACCCATGTATATATGTATGTATATATAAATTCATTTTAAATGACTACTAGTTTTAAATTGTGCGATTCAAAATTTGAATACTGCAATCAATCTACACCGTATACAATTGCCTATCACCAATAATGTTCAAATTAAAAACCTATCCAACGAAAGTATACATCATATCCCTCATTAATTATTCCATTGTCTTCACATTGACAATCAGATCATCGTGGAAGAGTTCAATAACTGCATCAATTTCTTGCATCAGTACCCGTCTTCCATCTAAATTGACATTTACTCTCTGCAAGTATGTCTAAAATGTAAATGCGGTTACTACACACACCAATTCACGTGTCTTTACAATCATTTATCATATAACTATTCAACGGTATACCGTTTTCAACTTTATTCCGACTGTACAAGGAAAAACTCTAGTCCACCAAGAGCAAATTCGATATATCTTTGGAAATACGTATCCAGTTTAGCCAGATATGTAATGTTGATTACTTTATTAATGTTTTTATTGAAACGAGAGATCAAGTTAGTGTGGTCGTCGCGGTCAATGTGATAGTACATTAAAGTGAGGCTGTATCGTATAGGAGGTAATGAGGCGGGGCGATGGGTGTACGTACGGACAAAGATCTGACTATTGACATACACGAGATCATCTATGTATAAGTATCTACTTAGAATTCTTAAGCTTATTAACAAGTTATGATGTCGAAGACTTGTTTTATGACTTAAAATATTAACGGATACAAAAACACAAGATGAAATAATATACTCTCCATAAAGAATGTTATTGAATACAGGCCACATATATGGACGCTCCCGCGTATCTAATTGAATAAAAATATGAATCTCACATCCCAATTTGTACAGAAACGAGATGAATCATTTTATTCCTTGTAGCGTTACGTCAATTGATGCCCAATTTAATTTTACAGATGGTAAGTATTGTCATAACTGACGCGGACCTTTATGTCCAGGAATTATGACTGTGAATTGTATGTAAAGTGGTTTACATCACGTATTATAAGTTTGTCATATTCTAAGTACTTTTTATTACAATATTTCGTTCTGAGATGTTCAGATAAGAGGCCAGCATGTCTAGTTTTATTTTCCAAAGATCACTTATTGTTAGTGTTAGGTACATTGAAAATGTGTTTTTTTTTCGGTACATTGTATTGCGTGATATCTAAGAATCTTTTTGTTAGCATGCTATCGTCATATGTTTTAAATATTTCTGAAGTGATCTTTTCATCTTGCCATGTATAAGGACAAAAGCAAAAATGTTCAGATTGCCCAAAGTTCTTTTTTGTTACATTCTAAGACTCCACGTGTCAGATACAATAGAAGAGACAACGGTATAATCTGTAGCTAAATATTAGACTTCTGAAGACCTTGCTGAGAGCATCAGTCGTGCTATAATTACCTTCTATTGTGTACTATCTAGTTAATTGTCCATATTAAGGTTGGTAATGATCATTAATTACTTGGCAATATGATTTCAGACGTTTACACGGAGCAGGCGGTCGTAAACTTTAGTCGGCGGATGAAAGAGCAAAGATAATTATGAACGTACGCATGCGTAGATCAAATCGGGATCCATCGATCGATAAGGGATCTAGATATGTTGCGCCGGAGACCACTTGTTCGTATTACGTTTGTTGAAGGCAATTTTATGTGCAATGTAACGCCAGATGACGTACAACTTTTGTTCGACTTTGATTTGTTTTTATGTAGTCATAACTCAACTAATATTAGGTCTCTAAGTTGGTTATAACAGTGTATTATGTATTATTTTTAATCAGTTCAGTTGCATTTATTTCAAAAAATATTAAAAAATATTAGCCAAGTATAATTTCAGAATTTACTTATGTAGGTAGTAATAACTGAAATA